TCTTCATATGTCTGCATCTGTGCTGAGTCAAACTGCGGGGTTGGGGGCGAAAGCTAGATCAGGAATGGGGCTCAAATTACAACCTATTCAATATTGTATGTTTGCTGTGGAGTCAATGGATATTATTCTGCACAGCTTTTAACATAGCAAGAGGATTTTCCTCTCACTGCTTCACACTAATTTGGTACTATCAATTTTATTTTAATATTTGGTTGATTAATATATTATAAATATATAATACTATAGGATTATTAATATTAGGTAGAAGAATGACTAGTGGGCTGTCTTACGATAGCTACTTTATTCGTGTTTCCTTCATGTGTAGCCAAAATTACCCTCAAAGATATTGTAACTATTAATGTGGTAGGGCTAAGGCTTCAGATCTTAGCTACTTCTACATATAGGATATATTCTTCCTGTGATGGCACAGAACAAAAAAAAAAGCTCTGGAGAAACAGAATACCTCAGGGGATTGATAAAAGGATACTGAATTAAATTCAGTCCTAATTTAAGCAAGGTCAGACTGATTGGAAGCTTTCACAACAGCTGAACTTGGCCTTTTGAGCCTTTTACCCACCGGTCTGCCTATCTAAATCCATCCATGAGACTTGATCTTGCAAGCATGCGTGGAGGCACGCCCGACTGGGATTCCACATTGTTTTCAGGGTCTGCTCACATGGAGCTGCTTGCAGACTCAGGGCTTTGGTCAATAATGCCTAAATGTTGTTAGCTGATGGCTGTATAATTTATCAATTGCCACTCATGATGCATAACAGCTTTTTGGAAACTTGGAAAGCGGTTCAACACATGACCATGTACAGAGCTTTACCCACTTACTTAGGAGGACATCTGTAGCTGATGCCAAAGATCACTGTTTTCACAAGACTCCTGAGACCCTAAGTAAAAAAAGTGTTTCTTGAAGGCAAGGCTTTCTGTCAAACAAAAATAAGCTGTGGCCTGAAAGTGAACACACAATGTTCAAGTGAGGGAGAGAAAGAAGATCTAAAATGGAAGAAGTCCACTCAATATAAATAGACTTTCCGGAGAGTATGGCATGCACTTGGTAAGGGAAACCAGTAGCTCAGAGCTCTCAAAAAGGTTATCAAAATATTCTCCTCTAGGCAGAGAAAGAGTCAGAAAAATGTCAGACTAAACAATGTGTTCAGAAAATAGTCTGATCCCCCACAAAACAATCTTGTTGAGATGAAGTTAAATGAGTAGGCATGTATCGGTGTTTTGCATTATCTTTCAAGGTATTTTTCTTTGTTTTTAAGTTAGAAAACCAGGAAATTCAGTTTAGTTGGGTTTAGGAAACCCAAATATTTGGATGTCTGGATATTCAATTACAGCAGCCACTTTTATGGGTTTAGTTTTGTTTTATTTGAATATGCAAACACAACATCTCTTAAAAGACATTGAAATGTTTGGGGCTTAAGCTAGTGCTGAGTTTCTGCCAATGAGTACTGTGATATTATTTCATATGAAGATGTTCAGGGGAAAAACATCTCATGAGACTTACAGGTCATATCCAATTCTGAAAATCTGTCCTAAAGTCCTGATTTTCAGAGATGCTGATGAGCACCCAGCAGCTCTCATGGGCTTCAGTAGCAGCTACTAAATACCTCTGAAAACCAAATTACTTATTTAGGCAATTAACTCTATGCTGAAAAATATAGACTCATATTCTGAGTAGATCAAATAATTTGTAATATCATAAATGTGAACTGCTCACAACTGAATTACAGGAAGTATACTAGCTAAATAGGTTCCCCCCTTCCCCTTTACAATCAATTTGTTTAAAGGAAAACTGACACTTTTCATCATTAGGCTACCAGCCAAGTGGCTTTAAAAAGCCTACTTTTAGTTAATTAAAAACTTTATTCTCAAATATCATTCACACTTTCCATATTATGAGATATGCTTCTTCTCATGATCAAGGCTAAATTTTATTCCTAGTTGTGTATTCCTAGTTACACAAGCAAGATCTACTGACCTCAACTGAGCAATCAGGTTACATCAGTATAAGTGAGAGGAGACTGTGATCCTCAGAATAATACTTAGCAAATATAAAATGTTTAAATTTGAAAAGCATCCAAGCAGCAAAGTTTACATTTATGTCAAAAATTAAGTACAAGGGTGTTCAAATCTGGGATTTCAGTTTAATTAACATTTTACCCCAATTTATAAAATAGTGTCAGTCTTTATGTTGATTTTTCAAAATCTAAATGATCATTTTAATATATTTTGTGTTAATACACATATTAAGCCCAAAATATTACATTGTTTGTGATATTTTACTAAAATAGATAAGACTAGCCAATTATTAATTATCCAGCACCATACAATAGTAATGAGGTAAACTAGCTCCACTGTTGTTGGATCTATTCTTATAAAAAATACCATGTGATGTTGTGCAGTCTATATGGTTTTATAAAAATATAAGTGAATATAATGTAACTGGGATATGCTTCATGCAAAAGGTCTCTTGTAAGGTATCATTACAAAGCTCATAATCTACTGAGTGTGATCATCCTATTTGTAGAAATGTACCACTCTTGTATCTAAAACTAGAAATATAAAACATAACTCTGAGGGCCTGTTGTAATTATGTAAAGTTTGGGCCATTAAGGATGGTTTGGAATCTTGATGACTCCCATTGTCTGCAGATGGCTGTATTTACCTGTGAGTCTTCCTGTATGTGTGTGTGCTGGCAAGTGAGTAATGAAGTCTTGCAGTGACATGCGATCATGTCACTGAACTGGAATCCATCTTTAACCTCAAAAAGAACTCCTGTTCTTTTTGAGGATACAGACTAACACGGCTGCTACCCTGAAACCATCTTTAACCTGGTGCTTTTCCAGTGAGGGGGGGGTGGAAACCCAGAGGGACAAAGGGTTCCCGTCTTATGCAAAAGATATATAAAGGGGTGGAAGAGAACAAGGGGGGAGAGGAGCCATCATGAAGAATCTCCTAGCTATCACCTGAGCTGCAACAAGAGCTATACCAGGGGAAAGAATTGTGCCCAGGGCTGGAAGGTGTCCAGTCTGAGAAAAAACTTACTGAAGCATCTCTGAGGGTGAGATTATTTGTATTCAGTTTGATTAGACATAGATTTGCGCATTTTATTTTATTTTGCTTGGTGACTTACTTTATTCTGTCTGTTACTACTTTGAACCACTTAAATCCTACTGTCTGTATTTAATAAAATCACTTTTTATTTAGTAATTTACTCAGAGTATGTATTAATACCTGGGGGAGCAAACAGCTGTGCATATCTCTCCATCAGTGTTATAGAGGGCAAACAATTTATGAGTTTGCCCTGCATAAGCTTCTCCTGTCCTGACAGGACAGGAGAAGCATCAAGCACTAAAGCTTTATGCAGGGTAAAACGGATTTATCTGGGTTTAGACCCCATTGGGAGTTGGGCATCTGAGTGCTAAAGACAAGCACACTACTGTGAGCTGTTTTCAGGTAAACTTGCAGCTTTGGGGCGAGTGATTCAGACCCTGGGTCTGTGTTGGGGCAGATGGGCGTGTCTGGCTCAGCAAGACAGGGTGCTGGAGTCTTGAGCTGGCAGGGAAAACAGAAGCAGGGGTAGTCTTTGCACATCGGGTGGCAGCTCCCGAGGGGGTTTCTGTGATCCAACCGTCACATACCATAGGATCTTTAATGATCACAAGCAGTCACTACCTGAATTTTTCATCTTATCCAAAAATGGCACCATCAGCAGCATAATGGCACCTAACATCATGCCCTGGTTTTGGTTCCTTTTTTGTCTCAGGGCCTAATATCATACTTGTAGATGAAATCCTGGCACCATTAACATCAATGGGAGTTTTGCCATTCACTTCAATAGGACCACAATTTTACCTTATGTCTTTATTCAAGAAAACTCTGATTGCAATCAAAAAGAAACCAGCAAGGAGTAGTTTTGTCTGACTAAGGAGCATAAGATAAGATCTTCAGAGGGAAGATTACCCTCTAAATCACATATTTGTTAATATAACCTGGGAGAGTTCTGTTCCAAGTGGTAACATATGTTTGTGACAGGACAGGAGAAGCATCAAGCACTAAACTACTGCATATCACTATGTTATTGTGCTTAGAACATTTCACCTGCTGTTTCATTTGGAAGGAGAAAGTACTTGCGTAACATCATCTTGCTGCTTATACAATAGGTGACTTCTGTCCCCTCCTCAATACCTACTCAACCTAAACATTTGTATTTTATTTCCTGTTTGTATTAGATTTTGAACAGAATTAATGAAATGATTTGACAATCCTAAAACACTAACCTGTGTTTGTCTAGGCATTAGATTTTTTTTTTTAATGTGACACAACTTTTAGTTTGCATTATGATTAGGAATCTTTGAATCCCTAGCTGAAATAAAATAAACATCTCAAAGTCTGTATTCAAATATGTTAACAAGGTTTAACATGTAATATAATGAAGTGACTTCAAACAATTCAGCATGGGGAAAGATCAATTTAATTATGGCAATACTATTTTTTTTTGACTGAGTTGGTGGGAAATTACAGCCATAAACGCTAACATAAATCATAGACTAAACATAAAAGTTATTTGCAAGCAGCAGGAAGTATGAAATGAGTTTCCACCCATGGGTGAAATTTTCAAGCAAAAGTAAATATCTTTTCTTCACCTACCTGTGGGTGTTTGTGTTGCCTTCAAGTCTGCGACACTATTTATCTCTCTCATGTTCCTAATGTGTTTATTTCCCATAAACTTTATTTTAAAGCAGGGCAAAAGTGTGCTCATAGGGCCTTGTTCCTGTCAGTTATAGAGGAAGCAGAACTCAAAGTTTTCTGGGATGTCTCAGCACTGGAAATGGGCAAAACAGTTAAGGCAAAATCACTGGTCACAATTTCACCAATCCCTCCCAATTTGGATTTTCAAATGCCAATCAGCTTTTTACCCAAACCTCCTCAATCAATCCCTGACCCACACTCCTCATACATTTTGGCTTCTCTACCACTCCTACCTTTTAAGGCAAATCACCAACAGCACTGTGGCTCTCTCTCTTGTTTGTGCCATAGTATGTACATCACACGGTTCACACCTGTGACAAACAGCAGGAAAACATCTAAGATTTGTTGCTCTTCAGATTCCAGTCAGACACATACATGTCATGTACTGTGGGACCCAAGTAATGGGAAAGCTTTAGAGCACCAGCAAATTTGCAGTGAGCAATGTACCAAAACCTAACTTGTCAACTGGTAGAAGAGTTATGTGCGGTAGGTGGACGGAAGATTTACTTGAGCATCTAGAAATAGGGTAAGGGCTAAAGAGAGGATCAGTTGGATCTGCTGAACCCCATATTAAAACGCAGAGAGGAGTTACAGCAGCAGAAGGATCATGGAAACAGACTAGGTGATCAGTGGGAATTGAAATGGCTCTGGTAGCAGGGAGAGTGAAATAGATTGAGTGTCAGGTGGAAGAAGGGATATGTGAAGTAACAGAGAGGGAAGATTATCCTGAACTTCTGGAAGTAGGGTGAGGGCTAGAGGGAGGATCCTTAGGATCCAGGCCTGACAGATGGATTGGGCCCTGATACAACAGTAAATTAATAAACAGAATGGCACACATCTGATTTCTGCAGGGACAAAATCAAGGGAAGAAATGCACCCTGGTTCACACCACTTTAGGTTATAAGACCTGAGAAAATGGGAGCAAGCAGAGGCAAGGAATCATAGACAATGAGTAAGTCACAGGCCTGGGACACAAGAGATCTGGCTTCAGTTCCTTGTTCCATCACAGACTTCCTGTGTGACCACAGGCAAGTTACTTATTCTCTGTGCTTCAGTTCCCTATCTGTAAAAGATGAGAATAATAATACTTCATTATCTCAAGGGGTGGTTGTGAGCATAAATCCCTAAATACTAGTGGGATGCTCAATTTATGGTGATGCCATAGTACTAACTAGTGATGTGATTCTGACTCAATCAACTCATTTGAGCACACTGCTGACATAAATGGAGGTCATGGGAGGGGGAGAAAGAAATGTAAGGTTTTCATGTCAGGAAGTAGTGCTACACTTTTGGTGATCTTGACCCAATATAGTCTAAATCCACCATTGCAAGATGGAGGGTGATCTATATAAATTGATTCTGTTAAACTTTTAAAAAAGCATTCAAATTTTTGGATATTTAGCTGAACCTTTAAAATTGTTTTAAAGTTTAACCATCTCTCCACAGGACTGTTGTAGGTCAGCAGGCAAGGGAAAACAAAGACTTAGAAGACATGGATAGGGGAACTTGAGACGGAAAGCAGTTTTATTGGACAGGGTAGGACAGTATTGCTCAGGAGATCATGGACAATTTTATGGGTGATGAGCAGGATTATACTTGAAAGAGGTAGAGCTGGTTAGCACTATCTGGGAGGTGGCTAATTATTTCAGGCACTGGCAACCTCAACTTGTTTACAACTGAGTTGATTTTTCCTTTTGATTTCATGTATTTAATGTTATTTCTGGAGAGGGTCTGGGTACTGTGGCTTATCCTCAATCTATATCTTTCCCATTGACATTTCCCTTCTAATATCATATGGCTGCCTTCCAGAGTAAACCCTAAAAGGTCAAATTTCAGCTGGATGTTGTGCAGCCAACAGTTAAAGTATCATTATTTGTAGTGGAGTAGTACCAAGAGGCCATGACTAGGCTGGGCCCCCTTGTGGTGGGTGCTGTGATAAATCATAAACAAAACCTTTTAAAACAGAGATCTCTGAAACTATAATTTCCACTGGGCTCAAGCAGAAAAGATGATTATTTCAGTCCTACTTTGCACTATTAAATGGGGTCCTGCTGGGAAGCATCACTGAGATAGCCGCTACCACTGAGGTTGTGTCTCCACTGCAAAAAACGGTGTGTTCTTACCCTAATGAAATACATATTATTTTTGCTGTTTATTGTAAAAACCTCTGGCTCTCAGATACACCAAGCTCTGAAGTTATCCAAAAATATCTGGAGGTAGCAGAAATGCCCAAGATAAACAAAACTGATAAATAATAGAAGAAGAAATCTTAGAGACTGTAGCAAGTATGAAAAGTGGTAAAGCTCCAGGACCTGATGGCTTTCCAGCTGAATTTTGCAAGGTATTTAAGATGGTCCCTTGAGAGGCACCTTCAATGCTATTTGGTTAGGAGAGGTATTTCTACAACTCATGAAAGAAGTTGCAGTGGCTGTTCTCCCTGAAGTAGGAAAAGACATTATCTTGTTGTGCAGCTCTCACAGGCCCATGTCATTGTTGAACCATGACTAGGGCTGCAGATTTGTCACAGCATTTTTTAATCAAAAATTACAGAGCAGTCACAGTAAATTTAGTAAAATTTTGTGATTTTTTTTTAAAATAAAAAAATACTATGACAAATAAAGGGAGCTTGGGATGGAGAAGGGGGGATGAAGAGAGCCTGCCCCATGCTCACCCCGAAGCAGTGGCTCCTGTCCCGCAGGGCTGGCCCATGGGGTCACAGCTCCACTCACTCATATTTTGCCCTGCTGCCTCCCCATCACGATGGCAGGTGGCTGGGCCAAACCTAAGTGGCATTGTGACCATGTGCACCAAGTTGCAACACCCAGAGCGGGGAGCCATGCCCAGCTCCACAGGACAGGAGCCGCTGCTGCATGGTGAGTTTATTAAAATCATGGACACAAAAACACATAATGGACAAACAGGAAAAACACAGTATCCATGACATTGCTTCCCACCAAGACAAACCTGCAGCCCTTATCATGAAAAATATTTTAGCAAAAAACTAGCAAGCCAATGGCAGTCCATGCTCTCAGCTTATATAAATCCAGATCAAACTGGATTCATTAAGGATAGACAGATGTCCAATAATATTTGGAGAATACTTGGAATCATCCATAATGCCAGACCAAAAAAAGATGAATTTATCACTTGATGCAGAGAAAGTCTCTGATAGAATATAGTGAAACTTCTAATCCTGCCCTATATGGACATTGGTCCCCAGTCCCTTAAAAGGATAACTGCTCTTTACACAAAAGCAGCTGTATGAAGTTATGGAGTTAAATCTCCCATTTGAACTACACAGAGGGACTAGGCAGGGATATTCGTACTCTCTCTACTTTTTGCACTGGCCCCAGAACTTTTTGCTTAGAGGCTAAGGGACAATGTATCTATCGTAGGACTAAAACTTCCAGGAGCACATCAGAAAACAGCTTTATATACAGATGATGTAATATTTATCTAAATTAAATATTTCCCTAAAATTAGTTTCTAAAGAAATCCAAGACTTTGGGAAAGCATCTGGATTTAAAGGAAAATATGCCAAATCTGAAATGCTAGCTATAAATTTACCAGACTCTGAAAAGTCACTCCTCCAGAAAAAAAATTGGGCACAAATGAGCAGCAAACCCTGTAAGATACCTGGGAATTCAAATCTCAAACAACACATAAGTGCTCTGTGATTTAAATGTCAATCCACTACTTCAGCAAATGTAAACAAAATCTGGAGTGCTGGAGAAAGTATGCCATTTCTTGATTAAGAAGAACAGTCACAGTCAAAATGAAAGTTTTGCCAAGGACAGCTTTCTGGTTTCAATCCTTCTGTGATCATCCCAGACAAAACCCTAGCACAAATACAGAGGATGTCAGAATTTATATGGAATAAGAAAAGACCTAGAGTAAGCACAGACCCATTAGTCAGCGTGGACTAGCTGTTCCAAATATTCTATGGTATAATCAAGCCAGTCAGCCCAAACCATACACACATCCTTTTGCAAAGGCCACTCTATGGATTTGGGATATAACTAGAAATAAGTTATTTTGCCTTGCCATGACACCCATAGCAAATAATCCAGATCTTAACCCAAATCACGAAGCACAGAATATATAAATACATTGAATGGGGATAAGTGATACAAAAATTGTAGTGAGAGAGATTTTATGCATATATGATGAAAACGTCCAGTCATTAGAGAGTATTGGGATGTAATCCATAACCAAGAATCACAAATTGTTGGATATTTATTACCAAACGATTTTTCGCTAATTCTCCTGGAGCTTCCTGGAAGAAATGGTCACGCAAAAGGAAATAAAAAATTAAATCTCTCAGCTCCATGCAGCTGCTTGGCTATAGCTAGCTAGCTAGCTAGTCTCATTGGACAAAAAAGAAAAAACAGTCCAACTGTAGAGGAATGGCTCAAAAACCAAGGGTGGTAGTTGTGGAAAAATTCACACACCAAATACATACCCTGCAAAATAGACAGAAGACAGAGAGCTAGATATTTGGTTACCTTTTATTCAACACAAAGTATGTTCACATGCAAAAATACCCAGCACACCTATCCAAGTTTTTTTGTATATTAACATTTGACAGACATGCCCAGTCTGATAAATGTGTAATCAGAGCTGTCGCTTCACTTAATCAAACCCCTAGACAGGACATGTCCTAGGTGCTGTAAGGATGTTTGCTCTGGGCTATGGTGCTGAACAGAGAGCTCTGGTGACCATAGTCCTATACAACGTGCGGCTGAGCTTGCTGGTTTCATGCCGCAGTCCTCGACTTTATGACGTTTGAGTTACAATGAATTGCACTTACAATGCTTCTATATTGACACCCTGATTCGACTTACAACTATAGGTTTCGAGTTTACGATGCTCGATCCCGCAATGGAGTAGATTGCGGTTCTGAGTTACGACATTACGACTTGACGCAATTGTAAGGAACCAATTGTGTCGTAAGTCCGAGGACTGCCTGTATTTATGTGGCTCGGATTTACACACCTGTTAGGATGTCCCACATGAACAAATGGCATTAACCGTGACAAAGCTACACTGCCAATGCAGGTGCAAACGGCAGGGAGACCGCAGCAGCTTGCATCCAAACTCCCAACCCCTGCTCTGCAGGCTTTGGGGCAAGCAGCTGAAGAGAAGCAAAGCAGAACTACCGTGAGGTACCCAGAGTTCAGCCCAGAAGACTTAGGGTTGCCAGGTGTCCAGTTTTCAACCAGAACGCCCGGTCAAAAAGGGACCCTGTCAGCTCTGGTCAGTACTGCTGACTGGGCCATTAAAAAGTCCGGTTGGCAGTGCAGCGGGGCTAAGGCAGGCTCCACGCTGCTCCTGGAAGCAGCGGCATGTCCCCCCTCCGGCTCCTATGTATAGGGGTAGCCAGGGGGCTCTGCACGCTGCCCCTGCCGCAAGTGCCGGTTCCACAGCTACCATTGGCTGGGAACTATGGCCAATGGGAGCTGTGGGGGTGGTGCCTGCGGATGGGGCAGCATGCAGAGCTGCCTGGCCACGCCTCCGCATAGGAACTGGAGGAGGGACATCCCGCTGCTTCCCAGAGCTTCTTGAGGTAAGTGCCACCCAGAGCCTGCACCCCTGACCCCCTCCTGCACCCCAACCCCCTGCCCCAGCCCTGATCCCCCTCCCATCTGACAAACCCC